AAAAAAAAAAAAAACGTGGAGCTGGGTTCCAGGAACCCAAGCTAGGTTCGAGGAACCCAGGCTGGGTTCGAACCGAGCAGAACAAACAAAAAAAAGAAACGTGGAGCTGGGTTCGACGGAACCCAGATTTTCTGGGTTAGTGGAACCCAGGCTGGGTTCCACCGGACCCAGCAAATCTGGGTTCGATGGAACCCAGCGGCTGGGTTCCGTCGAACCCAGATCTGCTGGGTTCGAACCCAGCAGAACAAAAATAAAAAAAAAAACGTGGAGCTGGGTTCCATCGATCCCTCAAACTCAGCAGAAAAAAGAGGAAGAAAGAAGAGGAAGAAAAGGAAGAAAGAAAAGGAAAAAAGAAAGGAAGAAGAATGATTGAAAGAGGGGAAGAAGAGGAGACGATGGATGAAGAAAGGGAGATAAGGGTATTAAGGTAAATTTTTAGTTTTTTATTTTTTGTTAAAAATAAAGTGTTAATTTAATTTAGTATATGAGTTGGCATATGAGTTGGCATTTTTTTTCTGATGTGTTATTGCCATGTCATAAAAAATTTATAAGAAAATTCCACGTGAAATTTTTTAATTGCCACGTTACAGATAACTGACAGAAGGACTAACAGTGTGCATTTTTTAGAGTTGAGGGATCAAAAATGTGCAGAAAATTCATTAGGGATCAAAAATGTGCAAATGGATAAAGTTGAGGGACCAAAATGAGCATTTAACCTACTTAAATATCTTCGATAAAAAAAATTTGTGTCATCACTTATTATCTTCGCTCTTCCTTCATCTCCATTTCTGCTGGGGTTTCAAGAAATCTCGTCTTTGGCTGCTACGAATCGGAGAAATTGTTGAGGGCTTTGAACAAGGATCCGTTCAAAAGTGAAAACCCCTTTTCAATTTCAATCCAATCGCAGACATGGGTGATCTACCAGGAGATATCATTCAGGAAATCTTGTATCGGCTTCCGGTCAAATCCCTGATGCGATTCCAGTCCGTCCGCAAGTCATGGCAGGTTCTCATCAAGAACCCTGATTTTATATCCAAGCACCTTTCTTTGGCAATCACCGACAAAATCCAACACCATGTTATTCTCTCTGCCGAGAATCGCACCAGGCATTCCTTGTCTTGGCTCTCATATGAAGAAGAAACTGGTTCGTATGTGTGCAAATTAATCGAAGAAGGTTTTACAGCTTCCTACCAATCATATCTCGGAGTTCTGGATCACTGTAATGGAATCATTTGTCTAGCTGTGGATGATGATGTTGTTTTACTAAACCCCGGAATTAGGCAATCAAGAAGACTTCCAGAGACCTGCATCCGAAGCTCAGACGGTGAGTGGGACCCTGATTATTTTACACGCAGTGTTGGATTTGGTTACGATCCCAGAAGTAGTGATTACAAAGTGGTAAGAATCTGGAACTCCAAGGTGGATGATCATGTTAGGATTGAGGTTTATACTATGAGCTCTAACTCCTGGCGAGAAATCTTCTCTTTTGTTGAGTATTTTGCTGATCATTTTGTCTGGGGTACTGAACGCAACAGATACTTGAATGGTTCTTTCTATTGGTTAGGGCAGGAAGAATATTACAGTGAGGATGAGCCTGACTCGGACGAGGAGGGGAACGATTCTGAGATTATTGTTTCATTTGATATGAGCAATGAGGTCTTCCAGAAGATATCAATGCCGGACGATTTCCACTCTC